CTTTCCACGGGCATGACATAAAATAATTACACTGAATCCCTGCGCAGCAGTAGAGTACACGTACGTTTACTGCAAAGACGTACTTGCAGTGGCCTCTCGACAATAGGGTTCATAAAAACTATGTATGGTGTACCTGGGGTAGTGGGTTGGCATATGAATGCACACAGGGAAGGGCGGATTGCAACGCACTCTAGGTTCGTTCAGCAGGCATTAAAGGACATTAGAAGTGATGAGTTAGCGGAGTGAGCTCGTGGTTAGTGGACTAGAAGTTCAGAGCCTCACCTTCCGACGTGGAATGGCATTTCTTTATTTTGCATTCCGGAAATCGGATGCCTATAGAGAAGTTTCACGCACAAATGGATCAATGATTGAGCAGAGGCCTGTTGCTTTGTAATTTCCGCCCTACACACATCGGTTGCAAGATTTCAGTCGTCTCAGCCTTCGCGAAAAGGAGATGGGATCAGAATATATGCCGCGCCAAAAGAAAAGAGCGCCCCGCCCAAGCGCATTCTATTGTCGTTAGGAGGTACAAGGGAACAGAAACGAACTGTATGCGTTGCACTCAGGTCTTGATATAGGAGGCATTCGTGATGTCGTGTTTGGCTTTGCCACACACGTCGGAGACGCCTCTGCAGAGAGTTCCCAATACAGTTGGTGAGTGCCAACCCAGCCAAGGAGATGGACATCTGGAAAAAAAAAGGTCACACGTTAAAATAGCCTACACGAATGGCGGTGTCCCAGTGCCGATCTCCCTGAGTAACGGCTACCCTTGAACACCACGAATAAAAACGTCCCGGGAGTAGTATAGTTATTGTTCACAAGTTTCCGCCCGCTTATTACTATTATTGGGAAATGTGAGGCTAGCGTCGTACCGTCATATCAGCGCATCTCTGTTTTTCTCCGCCACTGAGCGGCACATTGTGCTTCCAGCAGGTCCAAAGTGCGCACATCACCAAAAATAAGAGCTTTTCCACATGCAACATGATATTGCACGGTGCTTTGATGGAAGTAAATAGTGGGTCTCGTAATCGACCGATAGTGACCGGCGGAGTAAAGCCCCGGAGTAGGCCATCCATTTGCTTTTTGTGCTCAAGTACACCGTTCTAAATCACAAGCGACTAAATCCAGTTAGATAGTCTTGTATAATGTTCCAAGTGTTTTTCACTTACAAATGTGCATATAGTGGGCTTGTTGTGCTTAATAGATAGCATGCTGGTCCTTTGACCAGTTCAATCAATACCACCCATACAATAGTAACGATCCTCTAGTACTCGGCATGCTCTCATTCGTACGATTTCGAATTACACTTGCCTTCTTGTATTTGGGGAGAAGATTGCCTCGGGAATATTCCCTGTTATATCCTTTATCGAATTTCTCAGCATTACGCGATTCGGCCCAATGAGCGCACCTTGTCAGCGGCAGTGATGATGCATGAAAGTACTGGAAGCTGTTCACCTGGACAAGACTTGAGTCGGAGGAAGAAGAGATCTGTCCACAACATTGGATGCAGATTGATTTCGGATGTGGAAGCCGCAGTTGTCCGTAGCCTCCAGTTCTGCATGCCTGTTGGATGTGCAAGTCCGTTGCCACTTTGCGCTTCAGCACGAACAAGTTTCGACCTAGAATCATCAGAACTTCCAGTTAATGCCTTCCCAAGTCCTCCTTGTGGCATTCGGGAATCCAGCCTGACCGGCAACGTATTTGTGGATTACCGACATTTCGGCGTCCGACGTCTTGAGGGACTGAAGGAGCTGCAGCGGTCTCGCGAGGCAAGCATCTTTACCTGCGTTTTTCGTTGATGATGTGCGCTACTCACGAGCAGAGGATTGAGTGGGCTGGGACATACACAATGTGGCACTAGTGCAGTTTTGAAATACTGGGGCGTCATGAGACGCATAGGCCCAGCAGTCTGCAGTTCTGTTGCGATGTGTGTAGGCCGAAGCCATCCAGTCTTTGTCGTTAACCCGCCATCGTGCTCTTTCCCGCGTTCACTCAGCGGCCGTTACCCGCCTCTCTTTGGACTGCACACGGCAAGCAGCGATGCTCGCGGATGCATGCACTGTGCTCCTGAAAAACAGCTCTACACAGTCACGCATGACGATTGGCCCTCACAAGGCAGCGTTTCGATTTTTACGTGGAAGAGTTTATCTCCTGTCTGTGTGATGCAGACGATACTTGCTTAGTAGCAGCAGGGATGGCAGTATTGCCCTGTACGACCTCGAAGCTGACGCCTGTTGGAACTTGAATGGAGGCTTTGGGCCTGAGCCAAAGGCTTACCCTATAGGTTACGTGCAGAGAAGACCTGATAGGTGGGCGGAGTGGAAGTGGCAAATACTGGTGGGGGCAGCTGCTCACAAGGGTCAGTAAGGGTTGCGTTGGACTTGTCCATTTCCTGCTTACAGACCTCCCAAACGCAACTTGCTTCCCTTGCGCTTCCAGCCGGCAGTTGTACGAGGAATCGTGAGGAGGCAGACAATACGGAATGACGCAGGAAGCATTGCGACATCAAGTGAGGACTTCTCAAGCTCAAAGAGGGCTCAAGCAGGCCATTCAAGATCGGTCACAAGTGTCGAGTTCATGCCGGGAGACAATGGACTGTTTGTTTCTACTGGATTGGACAAGCTTCTGAAGGTGTTTTTAGACACAATACATGTTGCTACTCATTGTATTTTGGTGCATTCTTGCTGTGAATCTCATTTCCTGAAAGTCGAGTGGAGTTGTTCAAATTTTGTACTGTCCAGCAATTCCACCAACAAGCTGCACGAGGCTACACTGCATGAGCCCCTATCCTAAAAGTGGTCCCGTTCTTGCATAGTATCCAGACGCACTGGATTTTGTGTGCCTGGCTTAATATTCAGATATGGGATACACAGGCGTGGGAATGCGTTCGTGACATCGCTGTCGAGAGTCCCATTCTCTGTTGTGCTTTCGACCGAGTTGGACTCCAGTCAAAGACCGCATTTATCTCCGGGGCACGCTTGTCAATGGGCCCTGTGGAGCATTCTTCAGACCACCACCCCGCACATCTTGCACTTGCCGCAGGCTGTCAGGATGGGAGTGTTCGTATATTTGACATGAGGTGCGGAATTGCCCAACAGACGCTGCTGGGACACAAAGGTGGGTGGCACAATATTGTTTAGTTCCGCACCGGACCGTTTGCTTTTGGCCACTGATTGGCGATATGTGTGCTAGATTGCCATCTTCAGCCCTTCGATAAGGCGAGCTCCTGGAAGCGACTGCAGGGCAAAATGGCCTTTTTGCGATTGTCGTGCAGGCGCGGTGCTATCCGTCTCCTGGGATATGCTTACTCCATACCAACTGTTTTCAGGTTCTTTTGACAAGTTAGTAGGACCATCGGTATACTAGTTTAGTAGGCGTTCGAGTATGTCACTAGTTTGTGAGCTTGCGTTGATCTCTCGGCAGGTCTATTAGGAAGTGGGATATTCGGCGAAGTGATGCCTGTGTCGTGATATTTGACAAGGGCAAACCAGATCTCGATTTCTTCCGTAAGCTGTATTTCCCGGAGGGCGCGTATAGCTCCTCGTGCAACGCCAGGATATCCTGCCGTCTGACATTGCTCCGCTGTTAAGTAGCTCAGTTTGGGAATAGGCTGCAGACTCCACGATTACCGTTGAAGCGCATGATGCTTTTGTTGCGTGTCGTTAAATGAGAGCGTGTACGCATTTTTTGTGGCGTTGATGCCTGGTCCGCGCGACAACCAATATTATCAGGCGATTTCGTTTATTCGGGTGGAACTGGTTATGTGCAACCTCTGCGGCAGGCAATCGATGCTCACAGTCAGCAGCTTTTCGCCAGTTACTCTATACCTACGATGTTGTGGGTGGAAGCTGTTCTTCTTCGCTATCCTTGCCTCATGAAACTCCGAAACCTCCGCCATTCATGCGATTTGGTCACAGTGATGTTAAAGATCGGGTAGCTGCGTTGGACGTCGTGTCGCAGTCAGCTGCCGATGCAGCTTTCACCCAAGAACCTTTCTTTTCCATACTGAATTCGTCATCTGTAGGTTCAGCCTTCTCCATGGTTACTTCAGGGACTCGTCACAACAAAACCCCCAGTCTCCAGATTCCGAACTTTCCAAAGAAACGTACTCGATATTTGGCCGATGCGACGATAAGTTTGGGTGGTGAAGTAAAGAGAACAAGGCTAGATGAACAAAGGCAGCAACAGTGTACCCAGTCATCCAACGAAACCACGCCACTGCGTGGTCCTTTGAGTGGCCAACATCCGGACTTCTTGACTCCACAATATCAGCAATCCTTAGAGGTTATGGGATGTGGCATGCAAGTACGGGGGACCGGAATTCCGGCAGCAGCGCTGGAGAGTGACATCTGTGGCGATGAGCCCGTATCCGGTTTGAGTAGCGTCGGACACATGGCGTGTGATGAAGCCCCTAATACCCGTGCTGGTTTACAGAAGCACATTTTGCGAACAAGTGATAACATAGGTAACACGAACTCAAAAAGATGGCTTCATTCGGCCTCCACAATTCCGTCACCCAAATCTCGGCTGTCCAATTCCGCACCCCGAATCCATGTGCATTCAGAAAGCCGCAGTTTTTCTCCTCAAGTCCCAATATTGCAGGAGCGCGCCGATGCAACGCCCATACAAAAACAACAGCGTAATAGGCGTGGAGAAGCATGGAAGACCCGTCAGGGGGTTTGCAACCCTGACTCAGAGAGCCAGCCTTATTCAGGAGGAAATTGTGCACTGAATACCAGGGAGGCGCGGCACGCTGTAGGCAACCCGGCGTATCTACCCGATCTTTTGTGTTTTGAAAGGAACAAACACGGCATATTTGGCGCGAGTGGCGTGTCATGCAGCGACGGCCAGTCCGTGAGTGCTGCCTCTACACAAGGCCAACTGCTTTGCGGCTTTGGAAGGCCGCAGAGAAGTGCATCTACATTCCGAGAAGACACCTTGGGACTCCTCAGTGGACTTGACGACAGACGGACAGATTTAGAATTCCCTTTTCAGAGAGATGGCTGCACAGTGAGCAGAGTCCAGTGCCACAGCGTGCGGTCCGAGGTCAGCGCGCACGAAGGAGCAGTAACGGGTCTCGTGCCAAGCCCAGATGGCCTTTACCTTGTTTCATCCGGAAGCGATGGGCTCATAAGATTGTGGAATGCCGTTAGTGGCAACCACTGCTTTGTTCATATGATTATGAGCATCCCTCGTGAAAACCCTGTCCATACGTCAGCACAAGAACCTGGCCGTAGCCGAATGTCCCATACTTCAGCAAAGATAGAGAAGAGAATGACAACCAACAGAACTGATTCAATATGGGGGGTTCAAGCGGCTATTTCAAAAAACGGCGAGTACCTTATCCACGGGAGGGGCCGGGTGCTTTGCACCTTCGACATTATGTCAGGAGCAGAGCTGCAGATAACTGCGCCAGGCCATACGGATGATATCGTTTGCGTCACCTGGAATGAAGAGAAGAACGAAGCATATTCTGGCGCATTGGATGGTAGTGTTCTAATCTATGACGCCATGTGTGAGTCAATTAGAAATGCAACTATCTCCGCAATGCGTTTTTCCTAATTGGTTTGTAGTGCTACTGTGTAGTTTGTGTCATTAAACTGTCTCAGGCGGTTACACGAGCGAAGACGTAGAGGACGTTGAAGAAGCCCGCGTGGTGAATGTTACGCCGTTGGAAGCTTTGTGATTCAAATCGTTTCGGCAGGGATGTAAAGGGGCACGAGGCTGCGCATCAATCCGATAGTTAGTAGGCATTTGTCTCTGGCGGGTCTTTGTCTCAGGGACTTGGAGAAATTTCACAGACGATGACCTGAGATTATCTCTGGCTTTTTCAGTTCATTCGAAGGATGCATCTGCGGCTGTTCCCAACATTGTGTTCCATAACACCGTGGCTTTATTTTCTCCTTGGAGACAATAGTGATCGTTACTGTCCTGATTGAAGATGGGCACGGCTGCACAATCAAATTTTTGACTACCGTTTCTGTCAGTTCACGTGTCCCTGTTACTGAGCACGGTGGCAGATTCGATTGCGTGTGCTTTGAAAAAAAAATATTAGGTAGGGGTGTACATCGAGTTTTGGGAAAGATGCCACTTCGCACTGCCATAGCTGTTGCCGAAGATAGCGTTTATGCCGCTACCTGAAATAGTGCCATATTAGCGGATGTGGAAAGGGCCAGCCAGAAGCATTACGCACCTGCTCGGCCTCTTGAAGCAGTTGCGATACATTCCCGAGAGCTGTGCGGAATTCCTCGGTATCAGGCGCATGTCCGCGGAGCTCGTCAATTTTAGTATGGACAGCAGCAATCTTGTCTATTTTCCTTTTGACCTGTTCGCGCTGGCTACGAGTTTGAAGGAGACGAGCTCCGGCACCATGGAATCTGATTTCCACTTTATTAGGCATGTGGGTGCTTTATGTAGACTAAGAAAGACTTACAGCGATTCGACGGTTTCAAGCAGGGACAAACTGCGCTTGCTCACGCTATCCTCGCGCCCATTCCACATCGTTTTTCCCTGTGATGCGTGCGCAAGTAAACGGCTGTCCTCAGTGCACGATAGTACGATAGCGTCACTCTTACATTAGAAATGCATTTCTTCCAGAATTTATCTTGATTCTCAATGCCAAGCAGGTTCCTGTGATGCGGAATATTATTACATCTCGAAAGGAGTGCAGAAGACCCACTTTTGAGCAGCTTACCCCATAGTTTTCATTGCCAGCGACATATCCACTGCAGCCTCCTGGCGGAGGTCGCGAGCTCGTTGAAAGTCGCCGGACTGTTCTGGTGCCGACAAGCTGTTTTTAGCTCTTAACTTTACGAAGTTTCTTTACTTGCCTGCCCGGGTGGCTGATTCCTAGAGAAAACAGTCAAAGTTGAATCGTTGTTTGCATAGATAATTTCGCTTACAATCTGGTGCAGTGCCCGTGGCAATAACACTTCAGGATTGACGTATTCTGCGTGAGTTCCAGCTTCCTTTGCGACTTTCATGGCTCCCTGCCACACCAGGTACGTGTTGCGGGGATCTGCAACATAATCCATGGTAGGTAGGGAGGAATGGTTAAGACGCGGTAAAAGCTTTACCTGCTGTACTCTCGAGAAACGAACGTTGCTCTTCCGTCAGCAGCCTCTCAGGGTCTTTTGAAAGTTGAGGGACTGGATTGAGAAGCTCCAGAAATGTACCAACATATCCTGCACGTCTCTTGTCAATACCGCAACCGTTTTTTTTCAGCATAAGCAGGGCTCACTTCCCAGGCGAGACGAATGGTGATGAAGCCGTTTCGCAGTGTGTTCATGCTCCATTGACACGGCCGAAACGTGGCCGGCCACGAGGGGGAGAAGTAACACGCTTGCTGCCTTCACCATCTTCGGAGGGTGCGTAAAGCAACGAACAAGAACTAAGTCTGATATTTAATGAGGCACAAATGAGGCCTCTGGAACATTCCGTAGGAGAAAAATACACTTGAGTGGCTACCGTGCCAACGGCTTGCACTATGTTCTGGTGTATGTACAGAAGCCTGTGCTTCCTCCAGTTCGCCGTTCACTTCCAACAAACTTGCGGAAAGCCAGGAGCGTCCCAAGCAAACTGTTACAATCGAAGGGCTACCATTACGGTTATTTGATAAATTTCTACATAACGAACACCGCCACTTCCGCTAAGTGCTCTATTCCACGCTACTGGAAAATCAGCACGGCGCGTGGAGTCCTCGAAGACACCTAAACGCCAAATGGCTACCCCTGCTCCCTAGCTGTGGTCTGGCTAGCACTAGCCACGCTTGACAAGCTGAATAAAGCTAATTGCGTCACCATTCCTTTCCGGAAGACCGTAAGTTCTCACAAGGTCTGGAAAGCTAGTACCATTAGTAACTCTGAGATAATCCGCATCCCCGTAAGGGCGCTGCGCGACGAATGAGCAAGGCTGTGGGCCGCCCCACGAAATTCACAATTCAGATTGGTTCGAAACTAATAAGCTTCCGCAAGAAACGGATATTGGTGACTGGGCGACCCTTCATTGCCCCAGCCGCCGCCAAACCGTCTGGTCTCAAGCGGCTACAAGAGCATCCTTGGTGCCAGACAGGAAGTCCGACCATTCTTGGAATGGCGACTTTGTATACAGTCTGGGCTTCCAGAGATCGGGGGTCAAGTACCCGTAGGTTTGTTTCAGAGCGTCGAAAAGCGCCTGCAGCAAAGAGAACAGAAAATCAACCCCTACTCATACCCACGAACGAACCCACTATGTCTAAGAGGGAATAATTCCAACAAACGACCGTATGGGCTGTTAACTGCATTTATCTCGCCTACCTTCATGAAGTTGCCCCTGGTTTTAGTTGAACCATTGGAATTTGAGAAGCAGTCCTTAATACCCGCAAATGCTAGGATCTTCTTGGTCGTGGGAGCGCCTACAATGTGCGTACCACGAGGAGCGGGAATGAGGCGAACGCGCACGGAGCCGCATTTCCCTGAAACCTTCATGGGAACCGTATGGGGGTCCCCAATCTTGTTGCCCCAGTAGCCACGCCTGTGCAACAACAAGACCGCACGAATATATATGTCAGCCTTGTACATAGATTGTCTCTAGCATGCCGAACTGGTCTAGATCAGAACAGAACTGCGTACCTGACTGGAATAAGGCTCAGTTTAGCGGCGATTATAGCACCGCGGATCGCGCTAGCCACTTCCTTAGCACACTTTACTCCCAAACCACAGTGCCCGTTACTGTCACCAATTGCGACAAATGCTTTGAAGCGAGTCCTCTGTCCAGCGCGCGTCTGCTTCTGAACAGGCATGATCTTCATCACTTCATCCTTGAGTGGGCGGGAAGTGACCTCAGGAAGGAAGAAGTGATCGATGATCTGAACATCCGACACTCCATGAATACATGAATGCGCATTCTACATCCGAGCTTCACACACTTGTTTATCACATCCATGCTGATGCCAACAGTCTTGCACTGAAGGCATCAGCTAACAAAAAATATGTACAACCCGCCACAGTGGGCTTCGCACACAAGCGCGCATCAGATAGCAATTGGACAGAATTATTCCGTCAGTTTTCCGGAAGGGGAATACGTTTGTCATCATAAGCGCGCGTGAATACCGGCCGAAGGAAACACGGTAGTTATCCAAACTACACTGGGTGGGGAGAACATCTGAAGATACGGCAAGGGAAGTGCATATACCTGGAATTCCTTAACAGGAAGGGAATGAAGGTACACTTCCTCAATGGAGGTGATTTTTCCCGCACGCACGAGACGACCCAGCTTAGTAATAGGCACCCAGTCCTTCAGGTCATCTTCGGCTGAACCACGGCCTCGACCACGGCCGCGTCCCCTGCCGCGTCCCCTCGGACCACCGCGCCCAAAGCCACGCCCGAAACCGCCCCGCTCTGAATCAAAAATTGCCAAAAATGAGCACGTAAGCAATATGCATGTTGGTAAACACCCCACACGGGGTTCGCCCCCCTCGCCCGATGTATGAGCATTAGCATACAGATGCGAGGGGGGGAAATCTGAGTGTAATCCTGAATACACGACATATACTTTGGAGAATCACACGCCCTGTAAAAGCGCCAAAGGCACCTGCAAGACCCGACACAGCACCGTTCGCGTATCGCCCATCGGAAGAAGCGGCACGGTTCGACTCTTAACCGCACACCGCAATAAGTCTTCCAAGCGCTCATTCACGCAATGAATAAACATAATTGCCCAGCAAGTCCTAGTCCTCGCGAGCGAAATGCGCAGCAACGAGCCACATCATCGAAAAGCTCAGGCATCCCCACAGCACTTCAGAGTAGAGCTTGTGCGTCTGGCAACAATTATAGGCTGCTGCCGTAGCTGCCGACCAACCTGCCATTTTCGGAGGATTGCACAACGCTTTCGAAGGAGATCCCCAAAAAACGACCAGCAAACTTATGGCTTAGCACTGCAGCAGCCGTTTGCCATCTGGAAGCCGCGGTGGAGTGGGGCGGCCAACGGCAGCGGCCCCCAACAGCCTCCGTTCTCAGTGTTCTCGTCCCTTCGAACTAGCGCGCAAAACCACGCCTTTTACGACTGAAAGTGGAAATCACAGTTGTAGTTTTTGCCACTGGCTTCTATCTGCTAAACGATTACGGGTGTTTCTGGCTTGGCAGTCTTGACTGCTTTCAAGACGTGTCGGCTACTGGCACTGAAGCATGTAATCTCGCAAAGAGATTCGCAATCGTTCAAACCACGAATACGTAGACGAGGGCATTACGTGCTATTTCCTGATTTCGTATTGGTAGTCTATTTATTGCCGCTAAAGGACAACGGATGTAAATTCAGTTCTTCTGTGTGCCACTGAGTGCTGTTGGACGGGATGTCGTAGCACTGTTATTGCAAGTCCCTTCTGGAGCTAGCGTACCTACTCTCGCCTGAGTTCAGGGTAGCTTCGGAGGAACAGATAGTGCCTTGTAGTTGACTACAGTGATAATGCATCTATCAATAGGGGTATTGGGGTCCGCTTGCACCTGGGGCCGTGTAGTAAGTAGCTGCTTTTGTAACCGCTCCTCACAGATCGTTGCACAGGACCCTCGTGAGCTGCAACAGAGTTAATTGACTTAAGCTAACAGCTGCAGAGAAGCAGATCACCTTTGCTCTAGGCTGCATGCATTCTGAACACAACTGTAGCGGGGTCCGAGGTTGGTAGGCATACGTGCATCTGGCTCGCGAGGGCCAGTAAAGTGCCGAGCCGTCACATGCAGTGCGAATGTACTGCAATCATGGGAAACTGCTGAGCATTCTGTCAGATTTGGCTGCCTTACACCAGTAGTTGCGGGGTAACGGAACAGCAGGAATAAACAGAAAAAAAGCAATGTACCGAAGCACTGTCGCTGCAGAGCCTTGCTGGCGAACGCATCCGCCTCAATCATGCGCATAAGTGGCATGGGCCGCTGGTCAGCTGGAACTTTCTCAACAACGATGGTGTGTTTGAAAATCCTGTTTTACTGCGGGTACTTCCGAATGAACCAAAAATAGAGGGCATGCTGCCGCCTGTGGTTCCACCCCTTAGCTATCCGTGTGTAGAAAGGATGGCACAGATAAGCTCTGGAATCTAATTTTAGCCAAAGCGTAGCTAGATTCGAATGTAGGATAACCCTCTTTGTCCTTCGACGGCAACTGTATATGCAGATTTTGTGTGGCACGGAATTATGGTATGCTGGTCTCCCACACTTTCAGTTGCCTACGGTGAATACGGAACTGAAACGCGGGGCTCCCGAGAACTGGATTTGCTGAATGGATTACCAGAAACCTGCTAACTCATCGATCTCGTTGGTGACTCCCTTTGGCGTTCGAGCCAGCCTACACTTTGGGTATAAAAAACATCTTCAAACAGGCCATTAACATTAGTTTAGGATGGCTATGAGCTACAACGGAGTTGAAGCGCCTATGATAATGGCTCTCAAAGAACAAGTGACCTCCCCCTCTATCCAGCTTTCCTGAGCATTGCTCATCCTCTGACAGATGAAGATAGCTGGTTCTGGGGAGTTGAGGTGGTATGTCGACGATTGTGTTCATCATCGCAAGGTAGAACCAAACAGGCATTTACCAGTTGTATATGGTGGCTGTGGGTTGAATTTTTTGACGTCCTGAGTTGCTGCACTCAATAACAGCAGATTTAAGCTTAACAACTACTCTTGCCGGCCCAAGCTGAACCCCGCAGAGAACCGTCAAAACTCTCTTACTCACTATCCAGAGTAAACGCAGATGTTGACAAATGTGCATGGTTCTGACACACCCTGATCAGCATAACAACCCGGCTTGCCAGCTGTAGCGTTCTCTCTGTGAGGTTGGTTAGTGTACCTCTGCTAATGTGTAAGTTGGGTACTGAATGTCCCAGTAGGTAACCCACAGCTGTCTGTAATATTGGTGAGTGCATCGAAACGCGTGTGAGGTATGTATGTATATAGGGTTCCTTGCAACAGTAGCTACAGTACGGAATGCTGCAACTTAGGGCAGCCCGTATCCTCACCCCACCAGCCCCATACCATACTGCCGCCGTGTTTAGGACACATGAAGACAGGGGAGAACCTGCTCCTGCGTGTCACTTGGGTCCTCCTTTAAGGTCCTGGACTATCGTTACCCCAGCAGTCCCAAGGGCTCGCCCGACGTATCCAGTAACGAAGTAGACAGTTGTTTAACGGGTACATGGATTCAAACGCCAAATATACCCACTGGAATGGAGGGATGTGCACTCTCCTCACCGGCCTGCTTGCATCCTCCTGGCATGGTTATTTATTTGGAACATCGTGTAACGGCGCGCAGATGCAGCCTATCCTTAAGAGACGGAGGCCCCTTACCTGCCTTAAAAACAGCAAACACTAAGTGGGGCAGCTAAAGCTTTGTGAAATCCTTAAATCCGCAATTCCTACTAAGAACTGTGCATGCAGAGTTGCCCTCGGAGATGGGGCCAGTAACCTCTCAGCTGCTTTAGTGTGTGGGAATGGACTTTCAGAGATTCATCCCTACTTCCTTAACAAATTATAGAGAAAACGCACTTCCCTGGCTCTGACTGATCCTAACGTTCCTCTTTACTGCAGAATAGGTTTCCTGTAGGCTGGGGCTGGACAGCGCACCCCGGGCTGTGGGGGCTGTCACAATCGTCAGTGAAGATCGGGATGGTGGGACTGCTGAAGTTGGCTTTGTTTTCGTCTTGCAGTCTTTAAAGCTGGGCCCAGCAACAAGGAACTGACCGAATTCTGGCAGTACACGATGTCGGCAACTCAGCAGGATGTGCAGGTGCGTCCAAGGGAGAGCCTTGCTTCGTGACTCGGGGGGAAGCCCCCGCATTGTGACATATATATCCCCGCTTTTCCCGTTAAGAATCCACTTGAATATGCTCTTCAAAGCCGTGATGAGCGGGTATTAGAACGTTTCCAACGGTTGCGCGGTAGAACATCAGACCGTTCGACCGGAGCGGAAGGACGTAGGATTGAAACTAGCAGCAGCTTTCCAGATTGTGCACCCTCCTTATGCTTGAGAAATTTTGAGTCCAGGCGTTTTTATGTTTTGCAATGATGGAGGTATATCGCGACAGCGACGTCGAACATTTGTTGGTTCTAGGGGGTTCCTCCCCACATAGCTCTGTATTTGCATTGCTCGCTTGCGGGGGGTTAGAAGGCACCAGCTTGTCCTCTACCTGCGTAGCTAAGGGCACCAAGCTGATAGCGCAGCCAGGAACGCCTGAAGACAGCGTGAGAAGCAGAGAGGATGTGCCTTGTGCTGGTTTGTCACTGCAGACAGAGAAGGCCTTCCAGCGGCAGCATGGGGCCTCTCAGTTGGCCCTTGCGCAGTCTTCAAAGAGGAGGGGAAAGGCGAGATACTGGCGGGTATGCCTCTAAATAAAGATCATCGAGCCGCTTCGCGTGCTGCTGCAGCTGATGTCCGCCGTCGATGTTCGTAGCTGTGTGGTAGATGTGGCGTTTGATGCGTTCCTGCTTCTGAGTTTTAGGAGGTAGGACTGGGTTTTGCCACGCCTCGCTTGGCAAAGGAAGGCACTTACGTCGACAAGAAATGTCCCTTCACCGGCAACGTGTCCATTCGTGGCCGCATCATCAAGTAAGCACAGCTTGCGGAGGTTTTGAACTTGTGCGCACACGTAAATAGAAGTGCTTTTAATTACACCTGTGTCGGCGGCTGCAAGCTGCAGAGTTTCTCCTTAATGTGGTAACTTATGGGATTTGCATCGGGGAAGTGCGCTGTTCAGCCATACGGCGGTCAGTAAATGAACTTGCAGCAGATGTTGGCTGGTCTTTGTGTTCTTTACTGCGGGAGGGCCAACTTTCTCTACAGTAGCAGTGCGAACGGACATTCTTGCACACCATGTTCTTGCGACTTCAGGGGGATGGTGATTTCTGCCAAGATGAAACGCTGCGTCGTTATTCGACGCACATATTTGCACTTTGTGAGAAAGTACTCTCGTGTTGAGAAGCGGCATAAGAACGTGACTTGCCATCTGTCGCCATGCTTCGAACAAGTCAAAGAGGGCGATATCGTCACCGCTGGGCAGTGCAGGTGAGTTGTTATCAGTGTTGCAAGGGATTTTTTGTGGGACTTGCACTGCAGTGCTGCACAAGTAGCGCGACAGTGGTGGCGCACTTGCTTTCAGTACTCTTGCTGCAGTATGGCGTTCCTGTGGTGGCGCAGGCCCCTCTCGAAGACAATTCGCTTCAACGTGCTTAAAGTCGAAAGCAACCAAGTGTTCGGCAATGTGCGCAAACAATTCCGTCTTTTCTAAGGGCGGCATCGCACAGGTCGCTGTTCGGTCAGCTGCCGAAGCCGGCCCTAGATTAGGTGAAACCCACATGGGTCTTTGGGAATGAGGCATTTCCATCGGGAACCCTTGATGTAATGTTCTTGTTGCCAGCCATGTTAACGTTTTTCTAAAGCATAGTGATGTGATCGCGGATGGGCAAGCTGTGCCACTAGCAAACCGCAGTACTCATGTTAGAAATATAGCATGCCAGGCATACTCTGGAACGCAACCCGCTGAGCTACATAGCGTTTACTCCACCCAGGTTGTACTGCCAGCACCAGACGCTAGGAAAAGTACTTCATGGAAGCCCGCTCAGTTCGGCATTTCTGTTCAAGTGGGCGAGCAATTGCCCGCATGAAGACTGGAGGCTACGGTTGTGGCCGTGCAAGCCGGAACTGAAGGTGTTTGGGCACGCGCCAAGGCTGAAGGGGGGCGGTCGCTTGATGCTACATCAAGCGACTGACGGCCACATGAAGTTTCACTTCCACGCTGCGCGCCGTCCACTCGGCACCCCCGAGCCTAACCCGTATGGGGCACATCCCTTTCGGGGGTCTTGAAGAGAGCATACCCCCAAGAGCGGCTAAGGACTGAATAACCCGTTATGCATGTCGATATACGCGGTAGTCCCCAACGTGCCAGTACTACCGTGGGGGCCCTACGGCGAAGCCTTCGGCCGCGAACCCCTAACCTGATATGCTTGTGGCTCGCTGTCCGTGACACGAGAGAATATTCCTTGCGCTTTCCTCACCGGCCCATGCGCAACTGCTTCTGCTTCTCGTTGAGATAGCCACGCACCACTACTGGCGGAGGGTACGGCGAGCTTGGAAACGTCCCACGCTTGTCTCTGCGCTTCCACTTGTTCTCGTATTTCCGTAACGGTGGGTCGCACACGCTTTGGAAGCTGCAAGCAGCCACAGCTCATAACCAGTGCAAGTGAAGTCCAACCGCACTACAACTTCCCCCGCCAGCCGACGCACATCATCACTGAAACAAATTTGTAGATATGCACTTCGAGTTGTAAAGACTGTACAAGACAGGGCTCAACATTGCTCTCCCTGCGTAATCACTAGAAAGTGGTTGACGCTTAGTTCCCATAGCAGAACCCGCCGAAATAAGTAAGACACAAACAGCGACGGCATGTAGGTTGCTCTGCCGCAAAGGCAAACACATTGCCTCACCAAAATGCGGAATCATCCATCATCCGCAAAGCCCTTTCTGGGTCGTAGTTAGCACGGTGTAGCAGCTTGTAAGCGAACTCGGGAGAGAAAGGTTGCCATCCCGGGCGAACCTTCCACCTCTTTGAACACCTGCAACGGCGCAGCAAACCGCACAACACTTGAATGCACTTCCACTGCTTAAAAGGAGGCAACCCTGCAAGCAATCGTATAAGCCAACAGTGCAAGCAGTGCTAAACGCTGTGGAACTGAGTCTTCTAGAGTATTAGCCGCCACAAAAGGGCCAAAAGAAGACTTCTCGAACTCACTTGATAAGAAACTCAGCCAGGTCCTTCTGTGAAGTAATACAAGACTTCCTGGCTCTTTCGGCCAAGCATTGTTGCTTTGAACGCTCCATAAGGTAAGGGGAATAGACAAGCAAGGGTCCCAATGCCTGGCTCTGCGCGCCGTCGGCTAGCGACTGCTCGGCAAGAGTTGAAAGACAGTCACTGTCCCCACGCGCCAAGAAAAAATCGGGAAGATGGGGTACCTGAGGCAGCACCGTCACGCCTCTACTCCGCTGCAGTTGTTTGCTCTTGCTTTTTGCTGCGTCATGGCTAAACAAGAGAGGACTAGTTCAAAAGAAAGGCGCCAATGCGGAACCTTAATGAACGATCATTCTTGCGCCAATACATTCTAGATAGCTTCACGGCCGGCGCAGCACCACACTGCATCAAGAAAACGTTAAGCCAACTGACCTGATGATTGGGCCCCACGTTTATACGGGTCTCATAGTCCTCTGTGGCTTTAGTTTTTCTTCGCCTGGAAGGGACGCAAGACGGAACCGAGGCCCAAGGCGTGGCCGGAGTGGGAGGAGGACACGCTGGAGGAGGGGCTGAGGAGATGGTCTGTTTCGAGCTGCGAATGTCGGATGAAGCCTGCGGCAGCTTAACGGTAACAGTAGACGGGGCAGCCGCCGCCGTCGGCGGCGGCACTGCAGCCGCCGCAGCACAATCTGGGCAAAACCAATCGTCAGCATTGGCCCGCAGGCGAGGCCTGGCCACTGCAGGCAAGCAGTCAGCGTGGTAAGACTTAACACAACCATCGCAACACACAACTTCGCCTCCACCTCCACACTCATTGCAGACGCTGTCATTGCTTTCCTTGCCGTCGCTCTCCGCCTCCGCTGCTTCTCCGACCTCGTCCACCACCGCAACGGGCTCGCCTGGTTCCACTGGAAGGCCGTCTGACTCTGCAGCTGCCGTCTCGGTCATCGTTTCCACAACACCATTTTGAGCGGATCCCACTTCGGAAGGTTCGAGAGGGTTGGCATCATTTCCAGCCTCCCCTTCAACCTCCATTGCCGGCGCCTCTCCGGACATGACTACTGTCGCCTCACTCCCTGACGTAAGGCCTCCCGCTACACTTACGCCCGGAGCTCCGTTATCTTCACTGGTTCCTGGGTCTTCAGCTACGGAAAGCAATGCCTGCTGTGGGTGCAACGCTGCGGGAGGGTAAACATCTTCCCCAGTGTCCACACCGTTTCCTTGATGCATCTTTTCGTGAGGCGATTTATCATATTGCTGTTCCTGTTGATCTTGAGGTTTCTCTGAACCCGGACTAACAACAGGGTCAGCACGATCTGTTGGGTGCTGGCTAGCAGCCTGCGCTGCAGCCGCTGCCAGAGTCTCCGTGACAGTCGCACGGATGACGCCAAAGTCGCACCGTTCCTCCTCCATTCCTACAGCTACCGGCAAAGCAACTCAGAGGGTCAATCAAAGGAGGGCTCGTCCACGTGTGCCACTCCGACGAAAACCCGATTGTGGCCAAGCCTCCAGTGGGAAGAGCTTCGAGAAGTTGCAGTGGGCAGTGAGAAAACAGAATCGGCGCAAACAAATTTAAACAGTGCAGACGCTGGTCTCGCCGTGAAAAGAAAAGAGCAAATCATGGCATCTACAGATGCCTGCTGTACTCAGCATGTCATGACACAAGATGCCGCTTGGAAGCGCTGGGTGTCGACTACGCACGCAGCTATGCTGTCTCGTTAAGTTGATAAGCCCCCCAGCACCAAATTCCTTGCTCACTTGGGTTCGCTTGAGCGAGTGGTAGGCACACAACAGTGAAATGTCCAAGGATGGCAGTGACAGGACCCCCCTGCAGGTCCCGCCCCAGTGGACAATGAGGCGAGCCCCCCTCAAGCCCTTCCTGTGCTTCGTGGGGTTTCCCCCGTGACTCCTTCAGAAGCACTGTTGAGGCCTCCCAATATATTCAAATGTACAGCCACTCAGAGGGCGAGCGCTTCGTTCCCTAGGGGCCCAGAAGTTGGCCGCCCCTCCCCATGCAGTTACCCCCGCAAGGCAGAATATACGGCTCCCTCAGCGTGCTAATGTGCTCGAAGGCTTCGTGACTGGGATCTAAAGAGTTGCCATCAATATTGTCAACTTGCAAATGCTATCAACCGGGCACTGGTGACGCAGAGGAGCTGGCGGGCGGCTGCGCAGCGGCGGCCTCGGAGCCCCAGCCCGTCCTGTCAACAGAAGCGTCCTCATCTGAAAACGCACATATATGTTCATCACCAACGAGTTAACACGGAATGTATCGGTAATGTTTACTCAAATTAAATGCAATTTACACAGATGGTCTGCCGTGCAGCTTGCCGTCCTGGAGACACCGGACCCAGCTCCACTGCCGCTTCATAGCCAGTGCATCTGTTCTACATGTGAATTCGCCATGGATCTCACGAGCTAGCGTTTGCCGCAGTCTTGCCGCTGCCCGCATTACATTAAGCACAACAGTTAGTTCCAAGCAGCACCAAAATGTTGGTGCCTGTTGCATTCAAAACCTAGCAGTAGCCCGCAGGCGAACTGCAACGCCAGTCAGCGGTCGTATCCAAATCTGTCGTGAGCTGCAATCCAGCCACAAGGCCTAATATATGTTCCTTAGAAGCAGAGGACCTCCAATCCACTTCTCAGACGTTCTGGGAACAATAGCCCTGCTGCCTAGGGATGGGGAAAGCAGGCGACCTGACACGGGTTGCAATGCACCTCCTTGCAGGTAATCGTGCAAGGTACCTTCGCACGAATGCACAACCAAACCCCATTATGTTGTTTCCTGCAGTAACGATGCGGAGATGTGTTGTTCGTCTGTTTGCGTTCAGGCTACCTACAAAAGTAAAAGTAAGTTCTTATTGAGCTGGGGTCCTTGTAGCACGATCCGCAACATCGTACGCATCTTACTACAAGAACTCTCACCTGGCCTGTGCAAGACCATCCATGCATGCCCAGTGTCCATGCAAATACGCACTAGAGCGTAAACCCTACTTCGCTGAGGAATTCTGTTCAGCACATGGGCACGAACTGGAATACGATTTGGTTGATGTATTGACTGACTGATTTGCCCGAGGAACCGCCGCAGAACCGTGAGGTGCCTGCATTTCTATAGAGTTCAGTTTTTTCAATAAATAGCAATGCACACTGTGCTTATGATAACGGAGCTAGGCCAAATGCCCATGCCCAATCGCCGTTTATCCCTAAGTGAAAGTTGTGGTGGTTTCTAGGTAGACCTCCCCCAGATCAAAGGAGTTCCTGTATCCCTCAATCATAACTGAGCAATCAAGGGGCGAGGTTGCTGAAATTATGCCTTTAATTGACTTAGTTCTGTTCTTCTAGACCATCCATTCCTCCAGTTAGTCGTCTAGCGTCACTTCTCGTGCGAATTGTTACTTCGAATCTCTACCCCGAATATTGGGTATTTCCTGGTCTATTGGTCCAAAATTTATGGACATGCAGTAATAAATACTCTGCATGTGAGCTTTTTAAGTGGGCTTTAAGCCTTTATTGGCCCGTACGACTTTCCAACTGCTGATAGTAGCCAAAAAGTAACATCCTCCATCTTCATCACTTCACTATTACACAATTTGTAGTGCAAACCTACAGAGGATTCAGCTAGCAATAGACAACAAGCACCTCCGCAGCTTCTACCGGTGGGAGCTGTCGAAAGTTTGAGAGATAATGCGAGAAACATCGACACTTCACCTTAGCCAAAGGAGAGGAAGGGGCTTAGCCAAAGGAGCAGCAGAGTTGCGAAAGTTACCCTGACGGAAACGTGACAGGAGTAAACAAGAATTTTTCCAAAGCCATTTTGTACCAGTAGCAACCGGGATCGTATTCCAACAATGTTCCCGGTACTCGAGGACAACGGTATTGCTTGGAAAAAAAGCTAACTCAGCCGTCTTAACTAGCACCTAAAGATATAACAGGGTTGCCGTCCATCAGGGCGTCTAAGCATGCTTGCGTAGCTATAGAACCAGAACGCGAACAAAGTTTTGACGAACTAAAATAGGATGAATGCTTTTCCATATATTTATGCGCGTTGGCGGACCTGCATGCTTATCGCTCCCATCTTGCCATCTGCTTGCTCCTCAATTTGTTTTTTCAAGATAGGGAAGTTCCCTGTACCTCGGGACAAAGCTTTGAGTTGCGACCAGGAGGACGCCCAGTGCGAAGCAGTGCGAAGCACTGGGCGTCCTCCTGGTCGCTGGAGGCCTTCTCCGATGTATTGAGTACACCTGTGAGCTCCTTCTTCAACTGCTCCGACTTCTGGCGTTCTTAGAGTGCTAACTGAATCGAATTCCTCCAAACTGCCATCATTCTGAAACCTTTCCAGCAGCGGCTCTGCAGCGCGTAGGTGGTTCCTTGCTCCTTCTTTATGGGGGTAGTGATTCCACGCCTTCTACCGTAGACGATGCAGGTGATGTTGGGAACGCAGAGACGTGAACTGTCTTTTTGTGTTGCGCCCCGTAATCCTCAATAGTGTCTTCCTAAGGCCCCATGCTATACCCACCATTGTCGCACATGCGCTTTTACCGAAGAAGTCGCAGTAGAACCTGTAACTCTTCGGGTCCATTTTGAAAACAAAAGCGCAACCGAGAAGAAACAAGGAATTCCATCCACTGGCATCCCATTGCGGAGTGCATCATTATCTGGACGACAGGCTAAAACGGAGGCACTCTTCTTGTAAGCCGCCCACGGCAAGCTTAGGATTATGTCTTGGCAAACTGGTTCTAGAAACACGTAATGCGGCAATAATATATCTTCCTCAATTGGACAAGCATTGTATGCCCATAAGGTTGCTGGTTCCCGTCTCGTGGCTGCTACTGGTGAAGTTTGCTCGCAGGGAATATGTAGGTTGCAAGCCCCTGCCGATATTAGGTCCACTTCACAACATGTCTCAAGCTGCTCTCAAGCGGCACTAGCAACCCCTGATCACAAATACGAACTCCGATAAGCACAGAGTTGAGTTGAGGCGAACCCGCAGTAGCAGCTGTCACGTCTATAGGCCACATCACTGCGCCGGACGTTTCGTGGGGGCCATAGAAACTCCCTGATCGCATAGTTGGTTTCCCTGAAGGCGTTGAGCAACCTCTTACTTGCTCGTTTAGTTTCTTCGCCATTTTTATTCGGATTATGCGACCTTGTTTGTTGCGAAAGGAGCCTATGCACCGTTCGGCAGGTACGCCTCCCCACCCGTCTCAGTATCGAATTCGCCCTCTCACGCCTGTTCTCGGTGCCTGTCTTTTTCTTGGAGGGGTTAGCATTCACACAACAATACCCATAGGCTCTACATCTCGGTCGTTTCCACAAAAAAGTTTTTCCTTTATAGCTGGCTGGGTGGAAATGACGTTTTCCTGCCATGCACAAATACTCCATCACCTCGGCGCGTTCCACTCTTTCGCCCCTGGGCTCACTCTCCGCGGCTTAGCAGGTTTCCCCACTATCTTTCACCAAAAAAGGTTTCTTGATGTGAACAATCGCTGTGGAAGTTCAGTGTCCACCGTTGAATTTTTGTTCACAAGTATTGATGCTTCCCGAAGTAACGCCCTACTGATAGCTCTCCGGCCTTTGCAAGTTCCATAGCCGAACTTGAGAAATAATCCAAATCACAACGCATCTCGTAATGCTTAGCGCATACTCCGGATGTTGTCTCGAAGGGTGGTACCCTTGCCTAGATATAGCAATTATTATCTTGCCTCCCCTTCTAGATACTAAGATTCCCATGGCAACCGAAGCCCTTTGGGACGAATACACGCCTCTGCAGAATTGAAAAGTTCTTTCAATTCCTTCCCATTGCAGACCGTCATAGCTGGACGGTCGACAAAGACGGGGGGAATTGTTCGCCACTTGTTTTCGCACTTGAAATGCTTCCCCGTCGGTGGGATGCGATGGTGCGCCTGTTTCAGTGCCTCGAAGCGCCCAGAGAGCCGGCTTAGCCTACCTGCCAGTGGCCATATGCCGATAAATCCCCATTTTAAGGGGAGAGAAAAGGGCTGATGCCTTGACAAACATTTTACTGAGCATACCTAGATCTTTCATTTCATTTCGTTTGCAGAGCGCCTTTCGTACAAACCAGTGCTTTGCACCATGCCACCATGCTGTGAGAATGGTGGTCGTTGTTCACACCTGCTTCAATGAGCCATGCGGCGCTACCAAGTTTAGCGAACTCCCTGCATCGCAGCTGAGGATATTCGCGAGCTGCAGTAGAGTCGAGGACTTTCGAATATTGTTCTCCTCAATACAGCAGACATCCCCTCCAGTACCCCGGCATCTTGGGCAGAGAAGCCCAACTGAAGGGAGCTAGTGAAGAGAGGGGGTGACCTACTTTGAGTACCAACGCACGTTGCTGCAACTAGTGCTGCAAGGCAACCCCCATTGCAAGCACAATCGAGCCCCCCTTGCTGTATGCTCTATCACTGTACACAATTGCTAAACCAATACTTGGCCTCAGTAGGCATCTTACGTTCAGGTAGAAATACCGGTTCCAACTTCAAAGCCAACTAACTACACAAGCCAACCTCCACTAATCATCATTGATCATGTGTATTTTTCCTCCTGTGGAAATGGCTCCAATTTAGGAAGTGTCAAGGCCTGTCAGCGGTGAATGACGGTATGTGCTTAGGGGGATTACGATGCTCAGCTTCGAGCTGCGCGTAGCGGTGATCATTAGTGGCTGCTGCGCTCCGATGCCCATGTGCATAGCGTCAGACCCAGAGCGGCGTCGGCCGTTGCACAGAGTACCTAAGTGAAACTCCAACCTCTAATCATGCATGCACTATGCTTTACTGGTTGCGCTGCTTACAATATGAAATGGGTCGGAGCTAAGCGTTTTATGGAACTACTGAGAACTGCTCACTCGTTGAGCACAGGGCACTGTTCTGCCAACGCCAGGGGGTGCCGCAAATAATTTCCCCAGTAGCTGGGATCGCACAAAGCTGAGAAAGCTTGTAGTTGGTGTTAGTCTAAAATACATATGTAGGGGAAATCAGGAAATTTGGGCATGCTGCTAAGTGCAATTGGGAAGGACGGCAAACCGCGAAAGGAGCCGCGTGGGGGAAGCCGTTTCGGGCCTGCGTGACCCTTGCGGGGAGCAGTACCTACAAATGTATGTAGGACAAGGAAATTGAACTTTTCCTAATCAAATATGCTCTAATTTCCCTCCGTTAGACGTTCCCGTACGAGAAAGTCTGCTGCTTACCTTCACGTGGTCCAGCGGCATCCCTTGCCCGTGGCCCTGTGGCCTGAGGCTCCCTGCGAGTGAGTTGATTGTGTTTTGGGAAATAATATTTAATATTTAACTCCATACGATCCCTCTGGGGTGCCGATCGCGACTGATAAGCCCTTTCAGGGCCGCGATTTGGGGTCTGAGGATGCGCCGGCTATGGATCGCCGTCCTGCCGGCCGCTGCAATTCTTTTCCTAACGGCTACGAGTGTATTTACATGTAAGTATCATACTGTCAACTAGTTCCACAGGCCTTCTAATCTTCCAGCAGGTTAGATTAACGAGGTAGCCTCCAAGGGTGCGGGCGGTGCATGAAGGCGCAATCACACAGTGCGTCCTGCTTTGCGACCGCGGAAGCACTTCGACTATCAGCAGAGTCAAGGCACCTATTGAATTGCAGTGTGTTTTAAACTGCAGTGGTCAGGAATTGTTGCCTGCCGGGTGCGGCTGCTTTCGCGGTGATGCCTTGTCTGGCGTGAATGCTTGCTGATTCAGTTTTTTGAATTTGTTGTTAATTGCTGTACTGCTGGGTTTGTGTTACCATGTGGAGACTGAAGCATGTCTACTTGTAGTGATGCGATGCTTGCCTGCAGCGGGGGCTGAAAGCGGAAATGGCAATCACAGCCAGTCCGCTAGCGGAGACCGTGGAAGGAGGCCTCCTTTTCGTCTTTTAGGTGCACCATCGTCAAACACAGCAGAATCTCCGCAGGAAGGAAATTCAACTAAAAGCGAGGACCCATGGGGATTCATGGCACCTCTAAATTCCGCAATGCGAAGCTTTGTCGAAATGCTTAAACCGATCGTCAGCGGCAGCAACGGCTTGGAACAAGACTTCGAAGATGTGCTTGCGGCAATAAGCGAAACTTCACGAAGCCCACTCTTCTTCTTTGGCCTCGATAGTACACCTTCCCAGAGCACCTCATCCGCCACAGCGCAGCCGCAGAATTCCGGCGTTGTGCAGCGGCAGGACCCGACCAGTGGCAAAGTCCCACAGAAGAAACCGCAGCCTTCACAACCCAAGGAGGAAGGCGCGTCCAAACTGCCTTCTCGCAGCGCGCTCAGTTCGCAAACAAGCTCATCAGGAACTCCCTCAGGGCCAGGGGATGCATCCCACAAATTGCTTGGAAAGGAACATCCTCCAGGGCACAGTGATGAAGACGAAGATACAGCGAACCTTTGGAGAACATGGGACAAGGAAGATCTCGAACTGATGTAACGTAAGGAAAGTAGGAGCTCCTACATGACAGCAGGAGTGTGAGGGGCAGCGCCGTGGCCGCTTTGCGTCTCGCCTTACGGAGGTGGCAGTGGTGATGACCGCAAGTTCCGTGAATGGAAGTGCGATGAGAGGCGGCAGGTCGCCCCATGCGTTGTTTCGCTTAAGGCATCAACAGAGGGAGGTTCTCTCGAGCGGCTTGCCCGTACGCTCCTACTGAAGCGAAGTTCTCCGTTCGTTCTGCGAAGCAGGGAAAGACCTGATCTCACGGAATGGCTCTTTGAACCGCGTGTAGGCAGGGGAGATCAAAGCGTCCCGAAAATATTGCATTTGCACTCTTCCGCGGGAGCAGCATTTCAAACTGGCTACTGTGGCTTCCGGCTGTGCTCTCTGGAGCCTGCAGCCCTAGGGCGCATACTTGTAATGTACCCTTAGACAAAATGTTTACTGGTAGGGACGCCGACGTAGCAGCCCCTACTCTGCGGGCACCCAGCGTGTGCGACTGTCACCTATGGGTTCCCGCACTGGCGCTTCTGTCTGCCATATAGGTGGGGGTTTTCCTAACTTTTGGACAGCAAAAACTCCCCAGTAACTCGTTTCTTACGATGCTGTAGAACATAGCAAAGAAAAAGCCAACGGCGGGCATGAGATAGCACGGAAGTCGCTGCGATTCGTTTTGTAGTAAGGAGATACTTCAGTCCGGGAAACATGTAGGTGCTGACAACCGGTGAAAAAGCGATTTCACGTGTAGTGTTATGCAGTAGCTGCTTCCCAGGAAGCGCCTCACACAAGAAAGCCTGTCAGCGAGGCGGATGGTGGACAGGGGAAGGTACAGTTGGTGTTCCTACTGCACAGGGAGCAACTTGCAATTGGATTCATTTGCACTTTTTACGAGGCCTTCGAGACTTGTGCCTTTTCTCTTGATGCCTTTGTCTGCCCGCTCTCGCACCTCTCTGTGCACCATGGTGCAGTCTTTTAGCAGTCGTGGCCACTTGCGGCGTGACTGATGTGGGGAGGCGCTTGAATTGGTTCTCTTCTGAGCAAACGGAATCCTCAGAGTGGGTCTGAAGAGCCTGGCGAGCCCTGGCGGCCGGCGTTGCTGCTGCTGCTGCCGGAGGTTCTATAAATCCCCCCAGGGAAAGTGATACACAAGAGGCGACTTGCCAGGGAGAAGAAGAAGCGTCATTGGCTGGAGGTGGCAGCAAACGGACGGCCTGCAGCAGCCACCCACAGTAAAACTGACCGCCGAAACTACATGACACCACCAAACGGCACTTCTGAACTTCCTACCGTTACCTTCTGCCTCTCCACGTCGCCCCCATCAATCGCAAAGTCTTCCAAAGCCTAGCAAAGGCCCACAAGCCAGCGGCCGTAAGCATGCCAAGACAACAGCACACTGAAACGACAGTTTCAGAGCCGGTGTAAACCGCACCTTAACGACTTCACTTGTCAGGGCTGGCTGTGGCTTCGACTTCTTCCAGCCCTCCTCACCAGCATCATCTGCAATTCCTAAAACACAAGAAAGACGAAACACTGGCAGAGGCACCCTGCTATATGCCATCCTTGAACGGCGCTGCCCTGCAGACGGCGATCATGGGCACCCTCGCAAGGAAAGCAGAATGACTGGGCGCACAGTGCCTGCATCCAAGCACAATTTCCGCTTTTCTGTATGTTCACAGCAACGCTTTCCCCCACCTCCAGACACATTCAAAGCCTGCAATACACACCTTTGCGCTTCTTCGGTTGGCTGCTAATACTGCCGTGGCCACCTCGGGGATCACGACCGACAAATTTCTGGCTTTTGGACTGGAGAGAAGAAGCAGCTTTCGCTGCTGCCTCCGCTAGCCGTTGGCTGCGTTGTATGTAGTTGATGTGCTCTCTTATCTTCTCTCGGCGCTGCAAGGAAAAATGACCTCATGCGCACTTGAATGAACGACTCCTGGATACATTTACCTGCAAACAAGCTGTTCCCTCCCGATGTTTTGGTATTGGCAATTGTTATCCTAATTTACAACCCATAAAGCCAGTACGGCCAGCTACTACGCGGCACTGTACCTGTGCTCGCAGCAGCCGCCTCTCCTCCTTTTGCTTTTCGAGGGCTCTGGTCTCGGCCTCCTTCCTGCGTTGTTCCTTGCGTTTCGATGCTCCTGTGATGAATTCGCTGGAACGCACAGCAAACAGCGTCATCTCACGTTCTGGGACAATCCCCCAGCAAGCTGAAATTGCAGCTGTCCCTTGGGCCGGCGCTGCGCATTGTTAGTCAATGGAGCTCATGCCATATCGACAAGTAGCACAAACAGCATTACCGATGCCACCCACTTGGGCTATCATTCAGGGTTGTACAGTTGCGGCCGCCAGACAGACTGACAAGGAAAACACAAGTAAGACACAAGGAAGAGGCCTCACCGCCTCGCGGCGAAGTCAAAAAGTGCAGCAGTGCCTTGAGCAGAGCCTTTTGGAGCTTTCTTCTTCATTCTGCCACGCATCAGTCAGCTGGGAAAGGCTGAACTTGATTTGAACTTGGTATTTACCATTACTCCGTCCGCTGCAAAGGGATTGATCCCTTGGAGAGTACACGCGACAACCCCGAACCACCGAGCTGATAGAGAGTAAAAAGTCAACATACGACATGGAAAAACGAGGTAGTAAATAAATGCATTTTGCAATTTCTACTTACTGAGGGTGCCATCGAGGCTAGTGACAGCAACGCATAGAAAGTTGTTTCGATTGGGGCTGCGGCATGCGTCGAGCGGCAATCAAGCTGCATGGCAGTACACAAATCTACAGCCATGAATTGTCTGTATATGTATGGGCCTTCTTCCTAAACGTTTGTCATAGCTGCCTCTACACGCACTGGCTGTTCCCCTCACCGTGGAGCTAGTGCTGAATGCTTGTGGCACACTAGTTAGCTTGCTACTGCTAGATTGGTATGCATACTTTGGAATGCGTTGAAGCTGCTATTTCCTATTCTGCAAAATGTTATTGTCTAAAAATGCACAGCGCATAGTGAACGTTTTCCTAGGTGTTTCCGTGTTGCATGCTTTCGATGATACGCTTCACCTGTTTGGCACAGAAGCTCGTTGATTATAGGGCGTGGGTGGTGAGCAGAGTGTAATCTTTGTCTAAGAAACTCTGCAAAGCTGCTTTGAGCTTACGTAAGGGTTTTCCTGAAGAGTCTGTTTTCAACGTTGGAGTTTGTTGGTGTTATGTTGGTATTCTCTGGAGAGGGCTGTTGGGGTAGAGAGTAGAGCGCTACAGAAGCCCATAAGTGCTCCACCTTTACGATTGAGGAGCGCGTATCTCTCTGTGGGGAGATCCATGATGGTGTAGTGGGTGGTTTGGGCGCTAGGAGGACACAGCTCGTTACCATATAATTCTCTTGTAGGCGTACGCGTTTTGGCGTAGCGTCTTCGAAAGCTGAGTCCAATAAGAGTCTACAATGGTATGCAGACGGACTTGTTGCCTTGTGGCGGTGGAAGTGCCGTGAGAGTTGCTTGGGAGGTTGTTCACCGCTTTGGGGGGACCATGCCACAACTTACGGGAGGTATGTAGGACGGTCTGCCTGAAGTTGACGCATGCATTTTCCCCCTGCCTGAGCGTAGGTTGTTTGCTGAAGGCCAAATGAGTGTTAAGCAATGGTATTCAGTGCAAGGAGACTCGGCTATTCTAGCATGCTCTGTGAAGCTGATACATATACCTGTCAACACTTTCTTGAAGACTGGCTATTAAGGCCCAAATAAATGATTAGTAAAGGTGCACATTAATAGGGCATGCACCAAGAGGGTTTGGTTGTGCTTGCAATTGGGTTGGCTTTCCGTGTTTATTTCTGCAAGATGCGTTTGCAAGAGAAAAGTCCTCTTGGTGTTCTCTCGAACATTTTAGTCGCAGCTTCATCCCCTCTCTCCTTCCGCACAATAGAGATTGATTATGCTTTGCCCCGTGGTGGAGGAAGTGATCAACTCCTTGGAGCCTTCCCTGATTAAGCCAAACGCAGTAACTGTTTCCCATCCAGCGGGGATTGTTGCTACGGCCAAACCAATTCATGAAGAATGCCTCCGCCATCGCCGATCGTCCAGAAACGACGAAGGCCGCGATTTGGTGGTAGTGGCGGGGTTGCTTGCTTCTCTCCATCTTTAGTTTCGTCTTCAAACGCACCATAGGAACTGCAGTTACCACTGAGAAGTTTGTTATTATGTTAGAACCGCAAATAATGGTGGTTTTACCTAAGCAGGAATAACACTTTTCCGAGATACATCCAAATCATGAAAGCTCTCCGAAATGCGCTGCGATGTAGGGTCATTCTCCGAACCACAAGAGAGCAGGCTATGGCACAAGTGAGAAAGTGAGAAATAAGGAAAGCGTTAGGGCGCTGCATCGAGAAGTATCAGTTCTTCAACTCGGAACTTCAGTATCAATGGTTCATACCAGGGGTGCTTCATATCAGGGATGCTTCTCGGAGAGAGCTAACCTTTAGCCAGCTGAACCGCAGCTAGCAAACTAAGCGGAGAAAGGGTGGTACAGGCCTAGTTTATGGAGTACATACGCACTAGAGAGAGGAGAAGCGCCACTTCTACAGCCATAGCTGAGAAGGTAGAAGACGCGTTTGCAAAGAATCCCAACAGATCCTAGGGATTTTGGGGATATGAACGTTAGCACAGCCCATAAAAAGGTAAGAAGCGAGATACAGGGGACGGCCGGCGAATCTGGAGCCCAGAAAGCACGCAATTCCGCGCCTCGCATCTGCTTCTTCTGCAACAGCATTGTTACATAATCAGATACTTCAGGCGCATGAAAGGGCTGTGCAACTAAAGGAGTAAGAACCTACTCATCACCAAACCAATAAAGCAATCAGGGAATTTCTGAAATGGCCCCCAAGCAACGTGTGGGGTGGTGAAGTGGGTGGCAGGAGCACCCGCAAATCCGCCATAACTCAATGTGCTTCTCCGAGTTCGTAGCAATGATCATGCGTCGCTTGCGCTACCTGACCTAGGCTGCGAAGCGGAGTTGATATCTGCGAGGCAGTCCAAGCTAAGTATATGTATATTGGCGCATTCTCTTCGGATACGCTTCCCCTGTGGCAGACAGGGCACAGATATCGGCAAATATATGGGCGTGAATGAACGATCAATTCAGGAAAATGTCATGCCCTTATGATACCGGCTTGTACGTTGAACCAACTCACCGTGGTGCCATCCTAAGTTTGCCGTGGGCGACTCGCTGGAGGGCACGCACGGTGGTTACAGAATACACCTTTTAATTGCACGTGCCGCGACATAGTAAGAGAGTGAACAACTCCGCGCCCCCAACAGGAATCGCATCGTATACGGGAAGAGGCATGGAATCACTTCCCGAAGACGGAAGGGGCACTGAAGCTTCCAGGCAGAGCAGTCTCTTATTCCAACACCAAGATAACAAAGGAGAGTCTTCAACTCCAGGACTACGATAGCAAATTAGTTTTTCGGTGGAAATGTCGGCTGACGCAGTATGACTTCACCATCAGAAATATCAAGAGTATCATCGGCTTTGTCGGTGACGAACTACTAGAGTCCTACCAGTGATGCGACTTTTCCTTCAACATCAGTTGAATCCGACGACTCCTACGCTGCGTCTTTGTCGTGAGTTGAGTTGTAGCAGTCCTTGCTGGCAACTCGGACAGCAAGGAAAGCCCGGCATGTGAGCATACCCAAGCCCGCTTCTAAGGCAAGCCCTAATAACACCAAATGTAATTGTTCAGCACTTCCTCAGCCCACAGTAGCCAGCCTGCACGCGAGTGGAAATATGCGTACCAACCCCAGACTGACCAAGCTGCGACCGGCAGCCAGTGAGCCAGTCGGGGAACCGTCAAGTGACCTGGCTACGCTTTCTCTTTGTCCACTGAATCCTTGGCTCCAATGCTGCAGCGAGTGATCAGGGACTTGACGGGACCACTTCCTCCGTCAAAACTAGCCTTCGTTAGACAACTCCGAGGCGGGGCATCACTGGAAGTCGATACTGCTTGGGTGGCTCTCAACTTTCACGAAGAGTAGCCAGTTCAACTTAATAAACCACCTACCCACAAATGGGGCCTGATAGCATTTCCCCTATTGGGGTCAGAGCGTACTACATGAAATGGATCGTATAATTGGAACCGTAGCAACAAGCAAAGTCATGCGCTGTACAGAGAAGCATGCACTGATAGCATGCGTGTATTTCATGCGGCAGCTGCGTTTGTGCCATACATTATTTATATATGGTATATGCACCTGCCTCTGTATACGTGAACCCACACAAATGCACGTATACCTGTACATTTATAAATGCGTGCCCGCATGATGATTATGTACAACTAAGCGACCCCTAACCCAACTTCAGATCTTAATGGAATGCCGCACGATTATGTATGCATTCTGCTAATGAATCCGCAGCTTCCATTCGGCAAAAGACGAAAGCTGCATATGAAGCCTGTCAGTAGCGTGGCAAGCTAAAGGGAGCATATTCCTTTTTGTATGAGCAGGCTACCCCCGAGTCGACGCCCTCCAGATTCCACTAAACAAACGCCTGCAGCTGATTTCATTTCCAGGCCAGTTGACACAGCATCGGACAAGCCCGAACAGATCCCGCATCTCCTTCCCCACCACGTGCTGTTGAAATAGTTAAACAACACATCCGACCTTTCATACGCATAAGCACCACATTAAAGCATCACGAGCGTAGAAAGAAGACCAGAAGTGACTACTTTCGAGTTTTTATTGACCCCGTGGATCATTGACATTTGAGTTGTTCCTCGTTCGTGATTAGTGGGCTTGCAGAGGGTGATGGGCCTGCAGCGCCCTCTCTTCATTCGCTCTGCAAATTTTCCCCTAGTTAACCTATCATCAGCTGCAATGGATTTGCGCAAAACGTTCACCGATCCCACCCCCCTCGCACTATCTACCGCTCCTACACTAAAGTCTAAAGGCGCAGAGTTCGACGTGTTAGTGCGGGTTGCCCCAAGCCTATTGCCGCTCCTGTACAGTAATGGCCTGCCTGCAACGCGCACTCGGAGAATTACAAAGGGTCCCCTACCGCTACACGGCCTCTGTAAGCTCTATAAGCAGATAACAGCAATCGCTCAGCTCAGCCTGATCGTGCGTCTACCCGCCATCATTCTCGCGCTTGCTGTGAGCAAGAGCAGTACCGTCCCCTGCGCTGAGCCGAGACTCCACAGTTGGTGTACCCCCGCTGGACCGCTGCTAATAGGGCGCCTCGGCTTTCGCTGAATAGAGAGAGTAACCAAGCAGAGATGTTAAAGGTATCCGCCCTTCAAGATGGGCAGAACGCCCGCGCGCAGGCCTTGCCCTACACCGGCACATGCGTTCCCTCATAGGCTTCCCGCAGCAGGTTGCCCTTGCTGCACTGCGCTGAGGAGCAGCCATACGGCCCGCTTCGTGCAAAATTGTAGGACCTTTAATCGGCCGTGTCTCAACGCATCAGCAAAACTGGGGAGGCGCGCAGCTGCCAACTCACATTTTAATGGGGAGCTGGGCAAAGGCTTGCTGTGCGTTCGGTTTGCAGGAACACATCTCGAGATCGCCTTTCAAGCATGACGGGCTAGGCGTGAGGAAATGCAGTTCAACAAACACAGAGTGGGCTGTAAAACCTAACACTTTTCTGCTCTCTCCTGCTGTAAGCTGCAACAGGAGAAGCGGAGCAAATCAGGCGCCCCCATTACCACTGGGCGCCGCGGATTGCGCGTCGCTTGCACCAGCTTGCTGCGCCCGCTGCTGCTGCTGCTGATGCTTGCGCATCCTGTAAGCACGATACATTTCTGCGTACAAACAAGACACAAGGCAGCATCGCAATGCTTGCGAATAGAAACAGTCCGTAGCCAGGCCCTTCAAGATCGCCCTACAACCCTCACAAAACATGTCGACAGCAGCGGAGCAGCAGCTCCGGTGTTGCTGCTGCGGATGCAAGACGAAACTTTTGCTGCAGTGCAGAGCCGACTCACTTTTGACGTGGGCTATGCAACCTTTCGCTGAGCCGTCATCTGGGAACCTCAAGACCATCAGCGGCTGCGACTGAGGCAGAAGCCAAGGGACGCACGCACCACATTGCAAATGCATCACCACCACCAGCAGAACAAAACCACGGCTCTTATCCCGCCACCCACTGCTCGCAGCTACAGGCATACACGCACCAGGGTGATGCAGCTTTTCAAAAGAGACCAACTTTGCCTCTAAACTAAAAGAAATCAAACTGCTGGCGAAGCAATTTCTAGCACCCTTCGGTATCTCGCCCCTCGGTACCCACTTAACTCTTAAAATCTAAGGGTACCATTATTGCATGGTGCGTGCTTGCTGCTGCGTGTGCCTGTGCAGGTGAGTCTCTATTATTTCACGCAGGGTTCGACATGTAACACGTAGGCCTCGTGTAGCCATTCATTGCTCTCCTCCCCAAACCCTAAACCCTCCAAACCGTAAACCCTCGATATCATTGGTCCGTGCTCGGCTGTTCCTAACAGCTACAGCCATCCGGTTTGGATGACGCCCACCTTTGTAGCATTGAAGTAAAAGCACAAAAGCCTTGCATCGTTTTTCCTGCTCGTTATTTTGTGAGTCTCCGCCAACTCCATCGAAGAATACACATCGACGAAGTCATCTTCCACCTGCTGCTGTTGTGGCTGCTGGTGCTCGAGTTGTTGCTGCTGGGAGTCTCCTGGCTGTTGTTCCTGCTGCTGCTGCTCGGGCTTCAGGCGCCATGGTGGCGGAAGGCCCAGGAGATCAGCAACAAGGCGCCACTGTGCTCCCCCCTGATATTCTTCTGCACCTTTAGGAGTATCCTCAGGGTATCGCGCCAGCTCCGTAATACCTATTACCCCTTCTTCACCTCCCTCCTGCTGCTGATCCTGCTGCCTCTGCAGCAGCAGCTGCTGATGCTGCTGTTGCTTAGCTCCGCTGACAAGCACAACGCGGTCAGGAGTCACAATCACTTCACAAAGTCTTCTGTCTGGCGCGTTGAAGAGCCAAGAAGACAGGTGATCGTAACCGTCCCCCAAAGGCATCGATACAGCTGGCGCCCCACTAGACCCACCAGGTCCCCCTCCGCTGCTGCTGCGCTTGGCTAGCACGCCGTGAGACCCCCCGCGAGAAACGTGCTGCTGCTGTTGCTGCTGTATATAGTAGTCCTTTTGGCTGTCTGTGCTTCTGCGGCTCAGGGGGGTTGAGGATGAGTGCCACCGAAGCAGCAGAGAAAGGGAACGAGCAGTCACCGAAGCTGTTGCTGCTCCCAGCGGCGACTCGGGAACAGCGGCACGGGGGGCAATGCTGGAGAGCTGCGCAAGGGACGGCAACGAGCCTGTGCAGCTTTTGCCCGTATCTGCAGCGCTGTTGCTGCTGCTATTGCTACTGCTGCTGATGCTGCTGTCGCATGCTGCGCCATGTGCCTCACACAGAATCGGCGGCGGGGTTTCAGTGGAGCCTTGTCCACCTGAGCCAGCTGCTGAAGAGACGGCACTGTGCTGCTGCTGCAGCAGCAGATGTAATGGCGGCTGCAATACGGCCTCCACATAACAGGGGAAGGTCCTCACATCCGCCGCCCGAAGAAATACCTGGAGAGCCCAGCGAGGAACCCTAAGCAACACGAGGCGGTGCGTTGGCAATGAAAGCAAAGACGCCCAGCGCTGGAAAGGCAGCTGAGGGGGCAGCGCTTCTCCAGCAACAGTAGTAGCAACAGAAAGGTCCCCCCCAGCAGCGGCAGCGGCAGACCAACCTCCCGCAGCCGGCAGCGGAGACCCACACGACACACAGCTATTGCTGGTCACGCCGCCGCTCAGCCACCGCTGCTTCAGCAGCATCGGGGTGCCTTCCTGAGGCGTATAGGAAGGGATCAAGGCGCTGCTGCGGGTGCTGCTGCTTTTGCTGCTACGGCTGCTGAAGCTGTTGCTGCTGCACAGCGCGCACAAGTTAGGCACCAGCGGGCCTGATGCCAACACAGCATCCTCGTTTGCAGGCGTCGTTGCTTCTGCTGCCGTTGCTGCTCTAGCGGCTGCTGTTTCTGCCGTTGTTGCTCCTGTCTTCCGCCCTTTGGAAGAAGAGCCACGGGGAGACTTCGCGCTGGACAGCCGCCGCCAGGCCCCCAATATGCCCCCCAAGTTAAGACCCTGGGTACCGCTCGGCCTAAACGCGCTGTTGCTCCTTACCTGCTGCTGCTGCTGCTGCTGTTGTTGCTGCTGCTGTTGCTGCGTGCGAACGACATTAATTGATGGAGACAAAGCATGAGAGCGGCTAAAAGGCGTCGTCGACGCGGAAGAGTTTATATCTGAAGACAGAGAAGAGGAACTCCACGCTCGTGACAAAACCGACTGACGGCTGCCTCGGCGCACCGACCGCTGCTGCTGTTGCTGCTGCTGCTGCTCTTGCTGCTCAAGGCGCTGATGCTGCTGCTGGGCCTCAGCGGTGCAGACGGAGCATGTGCCCGTTGTGTGGTCCACAAGCTCCAGCTGCTGCTGCATCGCCAGCCAGTGACACGCAACGTAGCCTCCGCGAACAAAGGAAACCCACCTGTACATACACCGACAACAAACTAAACACCATACACTACACACCATACAAAACACCACATTAAACATGCACATGCATAAAACAGTACAAACATGTATTGTATGGTGTGCAGTATACATACTGCACACCATACAATACACACCATACAATATCCACCGTACATCACAGCATACACTACACATACACTCCACAGCATAAACTGCACTAAATACACACAACACCTGCGAAAACGTACGCAGCAACAAACTACACCAGAGACTACACCACAGACAGACGCACACTGCATGCACTCCACTCCATATACACACACGCACCCTTGAGCACACACATATATACGTGAGACAAACCAATGAGCTGCAACAACAACATGCAGCTGCTGCTTGGGGCTGCTAGGGTGCCGAGAAGCAACCGGTGGGTCTTCTATTTGCTTCCGTCTGTGTCACTACCCGCGACAGATGTGCCTGCTTACCTCAGCGCCATCTCCTCTGTTAAGAAATGGTATATCTCCGCAGCATCTGCATCCAGCGTCCCCTCCTCGGTGAGGAGACAGACGTGGTGCGAGGGCACCTGCAATTGATGCAAGCTGTAGGCCTTCCTATTCTCCTCCGGTGTCAGAGATGTGCAGCAAAACACGTCCGACTGGACAAACCTCTCGCGAGCAGCCCCTGAGGCCCCGGCCTTGCAGCCTCTGTCTCCTGCTGCACACCCCGCCATGCACTCAGCAGCACTGCCTCCTGCTGCAGTGCTCGCTGTAAGGCGCTCGTCTATATGACGCAAAGCCTCGCCCCGATGACCCCCTTGCTCACCCCCAATGTCCCCGCGCATTCTCTTGTCCTCTCGCTGCTGCTGCTTCTCGTGCTGCTGCTGTTCGTGATGTTGCTGCTGCTGCTGCTCCTCCTCCTCCGGGAGGTCAGACGCCCGCAAGATGCCCGTCTGCTTCCTGTCCGTTTTCGCTTCTGTTGCTGCCTCTGCTACCGGCTGTTGTCCGTTGTTTGCTGCTGCTGAGAGCGGCGCCGCAGTTGCTTGCTGCAGCTGGGCGATACTGCTGCTGCAAGGCAACACTGGCAAGCACTCCAGCTGCGGCCACTTTGCTTGAAACTCCTGCACGACAGCTGCGCTCTCAAAGCAATTCCTTCCGGCAGTTGCGGGCTGTGGGGTCCCCCCTGATGCTGCTGCTGTTCCTGCTGCTGCAGTTCCTGTTGGTCCTGTTGCATGCTCAGAGCAAGAACTACGCAACCGCCAGAAAGGAGTCCTATCTCCACGGGGAAATGGCTCTGACATGCAGCGGCGGTGGGGGTGCCGCTTTGCTGCTGCTGCTGCAGCCTGCTGCTGGCTCTGCTCCGTCTCCGCGCCTGCCGAGGTGCAGCCTGCGGACCCCCGTCGTGCTTGCGCTGCTGCAGTTTGCAACTCTGCCGCATTCACAGCAGCAACGGACGAAGCTCGAGAAGACGTCCTGCCTGCGCGGGTCCCTTGCCCTCCTGCTGCTGCTGCTGCTGTTGCTGCTGTGGCCGAAGCAGCAGTACCATCTCCCGCAGCAGATGAGGAGGAGCGCGAATCTCCAGGGTGTCCTCTCCACTTTAACGAGCGCAGCAGCCGCGTACCTCGCCGCCGCGGCAGCCTCCGCCTTTCGGTGTCTTCACCTCCTGCGCGCCTCCCATTAGAATTCCTAGCAGAGGGGCTCCCGCACCCGCTGCCTGCAGCAGCAGCAGTCGCAGCACACGCAGTAGCAAACACCGCAATACACCAAACCACCGGTCAGAGTCGCACGAAACTGGCCGCTGCCACTGCTGCAGAGGCCGTTGCTGCTGCTGTTGCTGCTGCGGGTCTCCGTTTCTGGAGGCTCAGCCCTTGGGTGGGTCTTCGGGCAAGGCCAACCACCTTCGTGTCTGCATCCGCCCGCCACTGCAGCAGCAGCAGCGGAAGCAGCAGCAGCACTTTTTTGCTACTCCTAGGAATGCTCACTTAAGCTGCTTCTTGTGGGGTCGGCGTCTGTAGCGGTTGCTGCAGCTGCTCCTGTCGTAGCCGGGTCTATGGCACCAACGAGAGCAGGAAGCGTTTGCTTCCAGTCCCCCAGAGCATCCACGTGAATGGCTGGCGGCAGGCGCCCCCCCTCGAAGAGCCACTGAGGCCTCAAGTCCAGCAGCAGGAGCTTCCAAGCAGGGCCTCGCCCTGCAGCAAGGTCCCCTCTCGCACGCTGCGACTCACCGCATGCCCCAGCAGCTCCAGCAGCTGCAGGAGCAGCAGCAGCTGCTGCTGATGCATGCGTTGCTGCAGGCGAGACCCCGCTGCTGCAACGCCCAGAGATCCCAAAGTCTTCGCACGGGGAGAACAGAGGCGCTGATGTGCGCCCGTAGGCGTGGCTGCAGTGCACACAGCAGCAGCAGAAGCACCCGCAAGCGGCAAGAACCTCTCCAAAGCAGCACAGCAACAAGGGAGGTCTACAGGACAACACACGCAATACGCATGCAGCAGCAGCAGCAACAGCGCAGCGCCAGGCCGCGTTTCTGGTGTGCTGCACTCACAGCCCCAACACCCACCCCCTACACAACGTGCCGCCAAAGCAGCGGTAGCAGAATGCCTACTTGAGTACTTCCTGGGGCAGCATGAAGAAAACACGCTCAGACTCCGTCTGCTGCAGCGGCTGCAGCTGAGGCTCCGAGCTCCCCGTCTGCAACAGCACCAACAGCAGAAACAGAAACAGAAGCAACAGCAGCAGCAGCACAGACCAGAAGGTCAAGAACGGGGCATACGCTGTCACGACGAGTGCAAACAGCGGTGCCAGGCGAGGAGGACGCAGCAGAGGCACAACAGGCAGCAGCATCAGAAGCAGCAGCCCTCAGCTAATGCTGACCTGCGAAGCGCAGAAGATGTACGAGAAACTGAGAGGCGTCTGGTCGCGGAGCTCCTGGGCGAGGCGCCACAACTGCAGCAAACAGCACAGCAGCAGCAGCACAAACAAGCGGGCTACGACTAACAACCCCAACGCTGCTTCGTACTAACCACATGCATGTGCGAAGCAGCAGCAGAAGCAGCGGGGGGAGGGGCAGCAGCAGAAAGAGGAGGAGCACAGGAGCAGCTAGAGGAGGAGGATCAGCAGCAGGAGCAGCGGGAAAAGGAGTAGGAGCAGCAGCCGCAGCAGCAGAGCAGCAGCAGCAGCAGCAGCGAGAGTGGGGTAGTTACAAGGGATAGTTCCGGGACGGAGTTGATGGAGAGTTTGCTCAGGGTCTCAGGCAACTGCGAGACCTCAGTACTCAGCAGCATGCGTCTGTTGCTGATGAGTATGGCGAGAGAAACGAAGCAGAAGAAGACACTGTCGCTCTCCAGCATAAGCCAATCCCATAATACGAACAACACCGGCAGCTGCACCTTAGAAGAAAATAAAGTCAGAAACCAGGGCGTTACGTACAACTCAGGAGTTGCAAAGTGCCTCTCTGCAGACAAACACGCACATACCCACATACACACGCAAACCCTAAACCCCAATAGCCCCAGCACCTCAACCCTGACAACTCCAAACCCTCTACCCGCACAGCCCCAAACATTAATCCCTAATAACCCTAAACCCTAAACCCTAAACCCTAACGACCCTACAATAACTTCGAACGCTAAACAAACCCCTCAAGCCCCGAACAGAAAGTCGTATATGCCCTTAATGCTGTTGCCGAACCCCCCAAGCAGTAAATCCTCAACCTTTATATCGTAAACCCTAAACCCTAAACCTAAACCCTGGACCATCTGCCCTCGCTCCACTCTAGAGCATCTAGAGACTGCATGCAAAACTGCTACAACTCCTTCCCAGCGGGTTTTAAGAGTGCTGCCGTTGGCTCTGTGTTTGGGGTGGCTGGCTGTTGGCTTGCATTTGCGTTTGTTGGGTTTGTTTGCCATGTGTGTGGGTATACGTGGTCGCGTCTGTGCATGCAGCCTCCACGCATGCATACACGCTGCATGCATGCATTCTACAAGCATGCGTTCTACATGCATGCATTCTACAAGCATGCGTTCTACATGCATGCATTCTACATGCATGCATTCTACAAGCATGCATTTTACATGCATGCATTCTGGCTGCATGCGTGCTTGCTCGCCTAAGAAGATTGCGAGAGTAGGGTCGTGGTAGGCGAGGAGGCGGTTAAAGTGCTGGAAAGAAGATTGAAGAGCGGTGAAATCATCATCAGCAAACATCGCTGGAAGAAACCTCCGAACAAAAGCTACGAAACAGCAATACACCTCCCAGGGCTCAAACCCTCCTTCTGCCGCCCCCAAATACAGGAACGGAGCTGCACACACAAAAGAAACAAATAAAACAATAATATATATATATATTACTGAAACTGACGCAAGCGTAGATATCCCTTAGTCTTCTTCATTCACATTTCTCGCTCTCTGCCATATTCGCCTCTCCTATCCAGTTGCTGCGCTGCGCCTGGCTTCCGCCTCACCTCCCTCAGAACCTCAGCTCCTGTCTGTCTGGTGGTGGTTATGTTCGTTCGTAACCGGTTTGGCTGTCTCTGCCACTGCATCTGCCTGTGTTTGTCGCTCTGTATATCTAAACGTCTCCGTCTGTGTGCGTCTCTGTCTGTCTGTCTCTACCTTGGTGCATCGGTGTCTTTG